GCAAGCAGTGCAGGAGGCTGTTGAGGAAAAGAGATCAGCAGAGGAAGCGGCCAAACTACTCCAGGCACAACTGCAACGGAAGGAGAACGAATTGAGACGAAGCCAGGATGAGATAGAAGAAGCTGCGAAGGCTGCCAATGATGCTCAAGAAGAAGACAGGAACCTGCTTTCCGAAGCGTCCAAGCTACTCCAGGCGCAACTGCAGCAGAAGGAGAACGAATTGAGACGAAGTCAGGATGAGATAGAAGAAGTTGCAAAGGCTGCCACTGATGCAGAAGAAGCCAGGAAGCTGCTTTTTGAACAGCAGACAGAACTAGAGCACCAAACTGAATCGATGCAGCAAGAGCTGTTTGCAGCTCAAGAGGAAAGAGCGTCTTTGCAGCATACTATGGAAGCTTGCGAAGTCCAGCTCAGGCAAGAACTGAGGGACATGACTGCGCAAAAGGCAGCAGCCCAGAAAACAGCAGGAGAGCGGAAAGGCTGTCGTGCTGTCGAAACCAAGGTTGTGCAAACGGAAGAAGTAAGCTTTTGCTTAGTGCCTCAAAAAGAAGAGCCAAGTCCTCTGTGGCAGCAAAAAGCGGCACTGGAGCTACGGCTTTCTGCCCAAAGCAGTGAGCTGCAGGCTGCACAGACTGCTTTGGCTGATCATTCCGAGAAGACGAAGAACTTGGAAGAGGCTTTGTTGAAAGCACGGTTTCAGCACGATAAATCCACCCAGAAAGACCAGGAAGACTTGGCAGCTTTAAGAGAACAGATCGCCGTTTTGGAGCGGAGAGAGCAAGAAAGGCAAAGTGCAGAGGCTCGGTGGGAGCGCTTGGGAGCGCTTGGGAGACAGTGGCTTATTTTCGATGAGCGCAATCCCATTGATCGGTCTCTCACACACACATGTAGACTTGGAAAGAAAGAAGCGTAGAGGACGACTTGATTGACGTATTAGACGACTTAGACAATTCTTTGTTCAAAAGAAATGCAACACGAAATCTCCATTTCATGCCCTTTGAGGGCGATGTACTCTTGCCAGCTCACAGTGTGAACAATGCAAGATCCGGCAGTTCCTATGTCTTGCCATGAGGCACCATCCCAACGAACGGTTTATGTACATAAGATCCATACAATGGTCTCTATGTTTACAATCATTCTCTTGTCAAAGCACCTTGGTTGGATGCAGGAGGTTTGGAGAACGTATGCCATCCGAGAGTTGCTCCGAAGCTGTGAGGAGCGAAACGCCAGGCGGAGCATGCTTTTGGGTTTTCTCAGCTGGATGTTTTTTGATGATTTTTCCGGAGGTTTCCAGCCTTGTCGCGCTGGCAAGCGGGTCAAACAGGTTAAACATGTTATGTGTCCCTTCCTTCTGAACCTTTCATGAACTGAGTCCAGCTTGCAGGGATTATTGTGCTGCGCTTGAGCGAGCTTTGGCCATCGGAGTCCCTTTTGAGAAACTTCCTCATGTGTACAGTGCCCTGGCTCGTTGAATGGGCGTGCTGTGCATGTGACGAGTGTACAAGGAACAACTTCTGACAAAACAGATATCCCAACTCAGGCAATCCAGTTTACTCAGCTCAGAGACATAGTTCTCAGCTTATCACAATTGATGTAGCTCCACAAAGTTTGAAGTAGGTCCACAAGGCTCTCACAGATCCACTGGATTCACTTCGTTGCCAATCCTCGTCCTTCACCCAGGCATTCAACGTGTTGGGAAGGAGCTCCAGTTGCCAGATATGCGCTGTGGCGTCGTCACCATGCAGCTGTGCTTGATATTGGATTACACATCCAGCATGAAAGAGCACGTGGAGAATGTCAGGATGAGCGTCGCGCAAATCATGGACAACATCAGGAACTTTCAGGTACCTCTTCAGCCATATGCTCATGTCGAGCTGGAGATTGGAGCTGTTGCCTTCAACGATTGGGACACAGGTACGGTGCAACGTGACCGACCAGTAGTCGCTGCCTTCGGTGGCAAAGAGATCAGGAAAGAGCATCATGGTAGCTTGACAGAGAGCGATTTCAACCTGGGTGGGCAGTTTACCAAGGATTCCAACAAGATTGTTGCATGGATGAACCAGGGTCTTGGAGACGGTGGTATGATTCCCGAGGAACTGACAGGTGCGTTGCTGGCAGCTTCTCATCTCAAGTGGTCTGCGCACAAAAGGCTGGCAATTGCCTTTACAAACGCCCCGTGTCACGGAAAAGACTACAGCAACGCACCCCATGATGACTTTTGCAACAGTGATTCAGGATTGACTTGCACAGGGGTTCCAGAAAAGCCTCTTGAAAGACTACGAGATCAGGGAGTGAAGGTTTGCTTGTTCCACACAGGGCAGAAAACAGTGACCACGATGTGCGAGAAACTACAAGAGACACTGCCAGATTTGGTCTGTGAGAAGCTGGTTCCTACCGAGATAGCCGCACGTGTTACTGACTTGCTGGAAGAGAACCTAAAGCTGCAGCCGTTCACATACCTCCTGAAGCCATTGTTATCGTCAAAGCAGATTTCTGAAGATTCGCCGTTGTCGCACGACATAAACATTGAAGCTGGTGGGACGGCGCAGAAGCACCACATTGGCTCCTCCTCAGCAATCTGATCAAATTTTAGGGCTCACAAGAGCAGGTAATTAATTGTCAGAGAGCTCACAAGTAAGTGAGCTGAAGTTGCTGTTTACGAAGGTGCAGCCTTGGCATCTCCAAATGTTTTGGTGTTTGAATTTTGCAAAATGATTTGGTGGACTTAGACTGCAGGTGCTTGGGAACACCAATCTTTCTCGGAAACAGTGCGCCCAACCGAGGCTCGAGTCATTTTCTCTTCTTGGGCTTTGCGGTGAACCCGGTGGTCGTCAGCTTACGCCGTCCACCAGATCCAACATTGGATGCTTTTTTTCAGAGCGCCAGTGACAAAGTGCCAATTGACGGCGTTTTTGGGGAGAAGAGCTACATCCTGACGATTGAGCCCAAGGAGGCGGGCCAGTGTAGAATGCAGATTGCCGTAGGCGGTTCTGAAGTTGGACGGCAAATAGTAGGATGTTTGTTCAATATCAAGTTTCTGCCTGCTTAGCAGATGCGCAGGAGTCGGTGCTGAAGAAGGAATATGCCAAACACGAGTTGGGCCGTAGCTTTGACGAACAGAATGCCAGGCAATGCGGCAGTGCAAACCCAGTGTTCAGTTTTGAGTTATACTGATTTATTCTTTAGGTCACATTTTTTCAATCTTTCCTGCGTGTTGCTGACAAGTGGCTTTGTCAATGTTTTTCCTATGCTAAAGGGTGACGTTTCCAAACACTTGCATGTGGCTTCCTCCAACTGAAGCCGAGCCGTGCAGGAACTATCGCGCGGCGTGTGACCTAGCTCGAAGCTTTGGAGTTCCCATTGATGAATTTCCTGGTGTCTATCGCGCCCTGGCTTGAATGGGCGTCCTTCCACCAAACGCCAGCTCGCATGTGTCCAAAGACTTGCTACTGCATGGCTTGTCGTGTGTAATGGGTAACCACAGCTTAGGCCTTTGCTGGCAGCAGCATTGGAGTGAGATTGCCCCCGCTCTCATTTCAGCCGTGGAGAAGAAGCAACAGTTAGAGCCCCTCAAGTACAGCTTGGAGCTTTACGACCCATACAACGAGAAGGCGGAGGAGGAGATCACTTCCGACTTGATGCCCACGCTCGAGATTGATGTTGAGAAGGAACATATTATTCGACGGCGTAACATTAGCACCTGGTCAAGGTATTGAGCTTCCTTAGAAGGAGGGGTAATGGAATATGGAGAAACATGAGGGATATCGAAACAATTCTTTCGACTGTCGCCAAAGCTCAGAGATTGGTAGGATGGGGCCCATAGATGGCCTGAAAAGGATGGGGTGTTTGGAACGCAAGCAGGCTAAGCATTCAGAGATGGATGGGTCATCAGTCCTTTCTTCATGGGAGGTAAAGGGTCACCGCTATCTTTCTTATTTGGAGAGCCAAGAATGTCGAACATCAACAAGCTTCTTGCGATATGAAGCTCTCTGAGGTGCGCAAAGTCTTCTCTTCATCCACCACATGATGGACAATGCACACCCCACGGATCCCACAGTCTGCAGGGTGACGGTTCGAAGAGGTGCAGATCCCAACTTGGATCTCTTCTACCAGAGGAGTGGCACTGTTGAAGTTGATGGCACTACAAGTCGAAGGAGCTGCGTGATCTATATGGAGCCAGAGAAGGCACATAGGGAAGTTGGAACTTGCTTGGGCACAGAGTAGACACACGACAGTAGGTTCAGAGTAGATGGTGCAAATCAACAGACCGTTTTTTGTTCATCGTCGAGACTCCCATGGGATGGGCAATCAGGGTGAGAGTCACAGAAGCACGTGAGCGCCGCAAGAAACCTCCCAAGATGAATTAAGTAAAGGCGTTGTCATATGGAACTTGGGCGTAAAAGGAGCCTTCGGGTAAGCATTTCCCTTGGGCGCATGGTTCTCATGTGTGAAAATGCAGATGCGTAAGATCTGCGTAAGGTCTTCTCCAACATCCGTGGCGCGTAAGCTCACGTTGTGGTCGCGCAAGAAAAACGTAAGCAGGAGCGTAAGATGCGTAAGAAAGTTATACGACATAGGGTTTTAATCATACGTATTTTGCACAGCTCACGTCATGTTGACACAGATTCGCGCCATTTGTATCCATTTGTCTAAGCAACAACAGGAAGCTACTAAGGGCTCCTGGCATCGCTATTAGGAGCAAGGATGCTACTAGAGGCTCCTGGCCGTACTACTAGAAGCAAGAAGCTACTAGAACCATGTGCCCACGACAGGATTGCACATGTCGTGGGCACTGTATCATCGGCGAAGCAGCCGGTGTGAGAGAGGTGAAGCCGGTGATTTTGTCGGACCAAGGCCTACAAGCACTGCAAGGCAGACGTGGCTTGACGTTGGATAGTCAAATGTGTGGTTCTCTTCTTCTCAGATTCCATGAAGGCTTTTGCAGCTGGTGTGGAGGTTATTGTGGCTTGTGGAGAGTTGACGAGGTAGAGAGAGCGAAATGACCATCCACCCACAATCATTTCAACATGTGCAGCTCATGTTTCTCATGCAGCTCTGCCCAAACGCGTGCCAAAGTTGACCATTTGCTCGCCTTTCATCCCCTTCTATGCTGTACTAGTAGTCTTCCTTTTGCCTTCCTTATGGGCTCTCGCTTTGTGTCGTATTTTGCCTGATTTAATTTCCAAGATTCTGGTGAAGCCTTCACAACCCTAAAACAGTTTCGCACAGCGCATTCACACAACAATTATGAGCATGGCGAGAATGATGTTGAAGAAGCTTTCAGGATTTCTTGACTAGAGCTGAGCTGCGCTGAGCTGAGGCCACCCTCGTGAAGCACAGGATCTCCTCGCTGTGCACAGCAACGCTTTTGTGGGGCGATGGAAAGCCTAGCGACAAGTGCCTTAGCGAGGACATGTGGTCACACCTTGCCTGCTCTGGGCTCTGGGCGGCTGCAGATCAACCGTGGGCCAGAGGTCAAATCGGAGGTCACGGGGAAGACCAGCTGGGTTTCCTACACCTTTGCTGGGTCTCCTGAGTTCTAAGTGTGAATAGTGCCGTGGAAGTTTTGAGCACTGCAAAGCCATAGTTCAGCAAGAGGAAATGATGGAACATGTGATTTTTTGTTTCTTCCACAGGCCCATCAGCTCTTTGCTTTCATGCTATCTTTTGGCTCAGGTCTGACATGGAGCTTAGTACTACTGTGAATGGGCAGACTCTGAATATTAGATCGAAAGAGGCAAGGAAGGACGCATCAAAGCAAAGCTCTTGAAGGGGAACCACCAATCATGCCTTGACAGGTTGAGGGCTGCGTCTTCGACCAGATCGAGGATCCGGCTGCGAACATTTCATTCCGAAAGACCGGTCGCCAAGCTGAGAACATTTCATGCCTTTTTCGCAAAAGGAAAGCCACAAAGACCTTTTTCTGTAGAGTATCGCTGGAAAGGTCTATTTTATCGACTCTTGTGGTGTCCGAGGAAGGTTCGAAATCTATGTGAGCAACTACAATCTAGATGACGCTGATGTACCCTTCACGGCGCGAGCCAAAGAAACGATTGCTGCTTTCCGTGCGTGCTCTCACCATTCGTCTCTATGTTTGTGCCCAAGCTTGAGCCGGGTCAACTAGTAAGAAGTATCTCTTGTGGATTGGCATCAGTCAAGGCTTTGCAGCTTGAAGGTGGTTCATGGCCTTTGTCTCACGAGATGAGATGCCGTTGTTTGCAGGTCATCGTGAGGAAATCCGGCGAGGAAGAGGCCGAATTCAATGCAGTGTGGCCAAGGACTGGAGAGAAGAACCAACTCATGAAGGCCACGGCGAGAGAGAGAGAGAGCAAGCGTTGCGCGCGGAGATGCGGCATAGCCTTGGCGAGATGCGGCATAGCCTTGGTATTCTTCTGGATTCGCCGCCGAATCCAGTGAAACACTCTTCTTAACGCTGAAGAATCGGTATATCTCAAACGTGGTGCGAGTGTGCGAGTGTTCAATCCATCGCACTCTTTGTTCGAACACTCGCGATGGTTTGCAGTAGTTGGGGGTCTTGGAGCGTCTATGAATGGCCCCAGTGCCGGGTCGAGGTGTGCACCGTCGATGTCACCACAGAGGAGACCGGGGGGGAATTCGTGCGTGTCTGGGATCTGCCAGACACAAGGAATCGTCCGACGACACGGATCGTCGTACACAGTACTTCCAAGAAACAATGGTGATGCCGTTCATGGGGTGTTCATGTTCTTTGGTTCTTTGGCGTTCTTTCCTCTCTGCCCACAGCCCACTTCGGCCTGTCGGTTTGGACAGGTTGCCATACTTCCGAGGTAGCAGCCACAGCTGCTACAACTGGTTGGTTTGTTTGATTTCATTTTTGTTGCCAGGACTTGAAAGAAAAGCCGCAGGCAAGCCGATTGAAGGAAGAAGAACACATCTTGGGTGCCTTGCGGGACAAGCTGAAGCCGAATCGCGGCGGATAGCCGTGGAGCATGCTGCCGCTCTGAGCAAGACGCCTTCAAAGCAGTGTGTCTGCTTGGTAGGTCTGCGCAGAACAATGCCGATCACCCCAAAGGTAGAACATGGACAAGTTGGCAACTTTCATTTGGTGCATGTGATATGATGTTGGCGCATCATTGCGGGGAAAGGTCTCGGGCCGGTCGGCGTACCAAAGCTGCTCAAAGTGAGCAGCATCTTAAAGACGGCAAAGTCAACAGGTCGAGTGCGAGTCTTTCCCGCATTTTTCCACGAGACCATGGGACCATGGGATGTTGAGCTGAGGCGTAGTTTTATCGACGTGGTCGTGGGAAACCAGGTGACACCTGCACCCTACAATACTTTCTAGCCTGTTGTGTATTATCCAAGGAGGAACCGGGTTTTCTCATCAACGACTTTCCAAGTCTGAAATGGGGGCTTATGGTATTTGGTATTTGCTTGTCAAACCATCTTTTGGGGAAACATGTCAAACATCCACTTGGGTGGTTTTGATGAGCTAAGACGCTCGCACACATGCAGAGTGGCACAACACAAGTCGCAGGATGATTCTTGTCAGATCATAGTCTGTTCTTCGGCTTCAGCTCTTGGTCATGCGGGATTGAGCGAGGAGGGCTGGTCTAGCTCCTCGCAAAGGTGTTTGATGAACATACCACGCTCAGCACCACAAGGTGGATCAACTGCTGAGCACGATCAGTTGGCATCAAACTTGCTGTCTTGCGAAAACAAAGATTAGCTTGATGCAGGGAGAAGACAGGTAGGTACTGCGGGAGACATGCTGCCGGAAGGCCTCTAGACTCTAACTTCATGGGCGCTTCCCCCCTCGTTCAGGTCCCCTCCTGGCTCAAAAAACAGCTGTGAGCTTTCATGCACTGAATTTGAGGAATGTTTCACAGTACAGCTGACAACTAAGTGCATTTTGACTTACTTGATGGGCCTCAGATGTTCTAGCTGTACCGTCGCCTTCATTTTTTCCCAACTTCAAAGTTCACTGTCTACGTACGTATGAACTCCCCCTACGTAGCTTCTCGCCGGTTCAAAAGAGTCTGTTCTCCCTTTTTTAAGAACATAGAACACCCGATTCAACCAGCGACCTCAAATTCAAAACAGAAATTAACATCTCAGACTCAGACCGAAATTGCGTGACACTCTTGTAGGTCACTCTCGACTCTTGCAGGATCATTACCACATTACGGCGGTGAAAGCGAGCATTTTGCGTGAGACTTCCTTCAAACACATCCAGAGTCCGTCTCCGAAGCAAACGCTTTGTGCGAGGGTCAGTAAGAGTTTGATCTTCTGGACTGGTTTTGTACAAACGTTTTGGGACATTTTGGATGCGCGTCTCAGCATGATATGTTTTGGTTCTGAAGATGGTCACATTCACACATTTGCAGAATCTGAAACTGGTGCAGTGCCGTCGACAACGCAATTCTGGATGGGTCGTGCCTTGAATTCTCATGCGAAATCTTCCACTACCTTCTACCCTTTTGGAAGAACCCACCGTGCTCAAAGGGATTCCTGCCTTTGGGAGATTTACTTGTGCAAAAACATGAAGTGCTGTTTTGCGGGCCGAGTTTTTTCCTGCAGCTGCTGCTTTGTGTGGCTGCTGGGCCGTGCGCTCCAATGCTCTGATAATGTATGATCAATATTGAATACTATGTCACAATGTCCTACGTTGTTTTGAAAACACTTCGCCCATCACAACTCATTTTGTGCTTATTCTGCCATCTCGGCAAGTGTTTAAAGATTTCCACATGCAGAGGATCGTTGTGCAATCGTTTTCTGACAAATGCAAGATCTGGCAGATCTTCTCATTGCGCTCATGAGTGTGAAGCATTAGAACAAGGTTAACCAAATCCTTGACAAACCACTTCTGCGATGGAAACGCCCAGATGGTGTTTGCACAGATTGCGAATCTTTAGATGCTTTTACCCTTGTCAGCACCCGCTCAGCACCGCAAAGGGGTGTTTAGTGAGACAGGGTATGTGTTGCAGAAAGGGAACACTAGATTTGACATACCAGTCTTTTGCCTTCATGTTTGGTGCGCCGCTTCGTTTTCGCGGCTCAAACTAGCGGGGTTCCGGCGAATCCGGCAGGTGTCGGCACGCTGGGGCAACAATCTCAACAACAACTCATCCGCTTGAACTGCTTGAGCCTTTTTTTTGCAGTTCAAGTGGTTGAGTTGTTGTTGAGATCACGAATTGATCACTCAACTGCACTGCGATGGCGACATAAACCGACCAAGAGTGAGTTTCGCCGTACCTGAAGGCACCACTGCTGCAAGGGAACTGTGTTAAGCTAATGGAAGTCCCGAGCGTTTTCGGTCTCCGGCCTGTCTTGGGTGGGTCTGCGAGTACCTTCTTGTTCCTAGTAGTAAGGCCAGGAGCTACGTTCGTAGCGTCCTTGCTCCGTTCGTAGCGATGCCCTTTGCTCCGAACGTAGCACCTTGAGCTTCCCGCGCAGGGCCGAAAGTCTCTCTTGAAGTGGGAGATGGAGCGCGTCAGGAGCCCAGCCTTTTAACTTGCATATAGCTATAAGCGCCAGGTGACATGTGGAGATTCGCAGACCAAACGTTCTTCCTCGAAGTCAACGAACAGATGCAGGCCATTCAGACTTTGTTTAGTTCTCGCTTCCCGCTGATGTTGCTGACCAAGCCCTTCCGGATGGGCCAGTGAATGTGGGGTTTGCAGACCTCCCTACGAACATCTCACATACTTATTTTCCAAAGCGACACGGGACAAACACAAGGGGGATCGCAGCTGGAGCTCCGATTTGAACAGATGGCATTCAAAACACAGCCATTAGTGAAACCTTCCCACCTGTCCCTACAAGGATTCATGTTGCAGAAAGCAGGAACGAAATCTAAGTGAACAATTTCAACGCAGTGTAAATTCAGTTCTCCAATCCATTGTGATGAGGTTGAGATGCCGAGTGATCCTTGGATTCCAGTAGTCAATCTGGCTGAGAAGACTGGTTTTGTTTCAACAGCCTATGTGTACCTGTTCTTGTTCCGACTTCACGCCATGGCCAAGTGGTGGGAGCTTCCAATCCATTGGAAGCGTGAACTGGCAGCTCCCAAGGCGAGCAAGGCACGCCTGGAAAGTGAGGCCAAAGGGCTCAGTATTCATTACCTGGCTGAAGACTTCCTATCTCTCGTGGAAGATGCAGGCGTCGGCCATCGCAATAATTGATGCTAACACCTGTTCTTATGTTCTTACGCCACGCCAGACCGTGCCAGACCCTCATGTTGTTTGTTGTTTCTTTTGTATTGCATGATTTGGTGGACCCCTGTCAGATGAAAGCCATAGTCCTTGATCTTCCCCAAACAACCCAGAGAGGCTTGAGCAAAGAGAGCACCATCAACGATTTGGAGAAGGTGGTCCGTGCTCACAGTGCTAGCACTACTTGCCCCAGAGATTCTTGTTTGGGTTCAGCCTTTGTTGACTCTGTGTTGGGTGAAAGCAATGTGGGCGCCGCCACTCATATGTTGTCATACACCTGGGCCTATGCCATCGGAGAGATCGCCGAGAGCCTTCAAGAGTGGTCGAAGAGCTATTTGTTGGATCCGAAGCGTAGCTACATTTGGATGTGCTGGGCCTGTGTCAATCAGCATCGAGTTCAGGACATGCGCCAGAGGGGTGAGTTCGTGCCCTTTGAGGAATTCAGAAGTGTCTTTGAGGGTCGTGTCAGAAGTATAGGCAAGAACCTTTGAGCATATTTCAGTACAGTTTGGCACTGACATGTTGCGGATGTGCTTTTGTGGTGTTCCTGGGCATTCTTAGATGCATGGACCGTCTATATTCGTATATATTCGACATGTATTGTTACAATGAATGAGTATTTGCGTAAAAACTGCTGCGTTATTCTACAGTCGTGCCCTGAAGCCGCAAGCCGAGGATAATTGCCTTGATGATGCCTTGGCACGCTCCAGCATACTTGGGGCGCTCTTGGTGTATGCTGGAACTCCACACTGCAATTCAATTGGGCGCAGAATGCGAGTTGACCATTTTGATGCCTCCCAAAGAAGAGGAACTCGGACAACTGCAACAAAACAAAAACGGGTCGTTTCGCCCATTTGCAGATGACCTAAGGCAAGAACCTGTGTTTGTGAAAACAATCATCAATCGTTACTTAATTCTACTCCCAACAGACCCACGGTTTTTGCATACACATAGGGAAGTAATGGGAAACATCGTCTTGCACGCATCATCTGATTCTGATGTTACTAGGAGCAAAGGGCATCGCTACTAGGAGCGATCGGACGCTACTAGGGGCTCCTGGCCTTACTACTAGTAACAAGAACGCTACGTTCGGAGCAAAGGGCATCGCTACGAACGGAGCAAAGGATCTTACCGACACCTTTTCTCGGTGCTTTCGGATTTGCAGGAACAGTGGACCTTGAGTCTCATGACGGGAGACGGTTTCGGAAAGATTTACACCACCCTGCGGGAAGCATCCATCAGCTCAGCCCGGGCATGTGTAGCTGCAGACCAGTTGAACATCATGCGATTGGTGGATGAAGGCAGGAAGCATGGCTTTTGCGAAGCTGAGGTAGATTCTGCTAGATGTCCTGAATGCTTGCTTGTGCCTGCTAAAGAGTGAAATAAGCCAATATGTGACACAAGTAGTGCATCTGGATGTTTGGTCATGGCAATGTGCATTGACATCGGGTGAAACACAGATGGTGATGGAGCCTGATCAGATGAGCTGTCGGTAAGATCCTTTGCTCCGAACGTAGCGTTCTTGTTACTAGTAGTAAGGCCAGGAGCCCCTAGTAGCGTCCGATCGCTCCTAGTAGCGATGCCCTTTGCTCCGAACGTAGCGTTCTTGTTCTTGGTAAGATGATGTTTGCTCGGTTCACAGGAAGGTAATGGAGTTGTGTGCTGTCGGGAATCCGTGCTCAGGTCAAGGCAGAGAAGCGTTTGATTCTCAGGTGAAGAAGCACCTTGAGGGCTGGTTCCTTCAATCTGCAAGCAAGCATGTCCAAGGGCTCCCACTGAAGATGCTGAAAGCCTGTTCGCAAGTTGGAAAGCTCTTGAGTGATTTCTCCTACTTGGATGATGCTATTTCAATCCTCGACTTTGGTTTATCGACCGAGACCAGCCTGATCACCTGGTATGCTCAGTCTCAAGCATCAAGGGCGGCCATGGCTATTGATGTTGGCAATCTCTGGCATGAACGAGGTTGGATCGAGCACAAACGTGGCTTGCACCAAAGTGCCATCGAGATGTACACGAAAGGCTTGGAAGAACTCGAGAGAATGGCCGCGTCACAAACCATCGCAGGATCGAAGCTGCTCCGTGGCCGAGCGAGAGCTTTTGTCCGTGATGAGCCGGATGAACTTTTTTCCGATGAGCCACCCCCATCTGTGGCTGACCTAGAGAAGGCTTACAAAGATATGCAAGCGTCGCTCCATATCTTGCAGAGCCATGGCTTGGAAGCGACGGAAGATGGTGCAAAGATGTACAACAATCTAGGTCTCTTGCATTCGTTACGTGCAGATTTTGAGGTATCCACGAGGATGTTTGAAGCAGCTGGTCGCATTCGAGACATCACAAAGACTTTGCAGACACCAATGAATGCTCGCCGCCTCTACAACTTCGGGAGCATGCGCTTGAAAAACGGACGCATGACACGTGAGCAAGATGTGGCTGCTTCCCATTTTGCAGAGGCAAAGAAGCTCTTGCAGGAAGCACTCAGCATATTGAAAAAGTACGACGCACGGTTATACAATGCAATATTTCACTGTGCGTTTTCCGCTTTTCTTTTGTTTGATTTCGGTAAAGGTATGTGTCTTTTTCCTTCCAGGAAGTCAACACCGAAACAACCGTCATCTCAGGAAATTAAAGATGATCTATTTGCAAGATGTCACCGCAAGCTTGATTGGATCTCCTCACTGGCCACTCTGAAATCGGGACATAGGATCAGCCTTTGAAGAGTGTTGTGATGTTCATCAACCACCAATCACCTTTGGTGGTCACAAGTTTCAAACCAATCAGGTGCATGAAAATTAAGGTCTTTAAGCTCCAGAGGCTGAGAAATCCCTCGTGCAGATTTAGACGCCTGAAGATTTTCATCGAAATCCGTAGGATTTGGAGCCTGACACGACTTCTTCACGAGGATTTGGAGCAGGTTTTGCATAGTTCAGCCATTAGGTGGCCGCCTCACAGAAGAGGCATCACTCTTTGTAAAGTCACTTGGCATCGCTCTTTTCCCACTCAGACTCATGGTGTGGTCAAGAAATCTCTCTTTCCCCCCTGCAGCGACAGCTTGGGGTCTGCGCAAAAGGATCGGAACAGGTTTTGTGGGCAGGTTCTGGATAAGACTCAGGCTCATGTGAGGGCATTTCAAGTGAGGTGCAACACTTAACACTCTACTTGCATGCCGATCTGCGATACGTGATGGGTCCTATGATGGTGAAACAACAGCTTTGAAGGGGTGCATGGGTCAGGGATGATGTTATGGCATGGTCATTTCATGGAGGACCAGGCTGGTTTGGATGTGGGATGATGTAGATATCTCTCTGCATGAGAGGTTCTTGTAAGATGCCTGGCAGGTGCGAGCAGTTTCCTTCACCGGAGACACTATCAACGTGGTGGGTTTCATGGGAATGGAGGGTGGTAGTCCCAAGAAACACATAAATTCCAAGACACAGCGGGACTGGGGTTGGAAGATGTGGGGTGGTTGCGGAACATGCACGTCACCAGCTTTCTGCCACTCAATCGCTTGGGCATCCAATAGGTGTTTGGGACCCTCCTCCACAGGTTGCAACACATTCACATGTTCTCCATTGACGCACGTTTCAACACAACCATTTGTACATGCAAATGCCATTCAGGAAAAGCTGCATATGTCATACGTCTATACACAAGAATTCATTTCTCCATTGAAGGGAGCTCAATGTGCCTGACCCCCCAGGCTGCCTCACCTGCACATCAAGGAGCACTTCGACCAGAATTCTTCGAGTGCTTGATCCAGCAAAAATGTGAGTTGGGTGGCAAAGGGCAGTGACAACGTGTTTGCTTCCCATTTCAGCTTTGGATGTTTACTGCACCTGTTGCTTCGCGAGCGTAGTGCCCAGTACAGGTTTTTGGAGGCCCCTGGGCCCCCCTGCATGGAAAAAGGCTTCTCGGGCCTTTTCTTCAACAATGATGAATTTTGCTGTGTGCCGTATCGCAGCAAGAAGACATGTTTGGAGACAGGCAGATTAGACAGACCTTTTTGCTGGCAAAGAGCTGTCGACAATCCAGCTTCCAACGACAGTCCTTTCCAAGTAGGACCACCAAGGGCAGCCAGAGACTCAAAGTCCGCACATGGAGATTAGTCAACCTCGATTGGCCAGAGTACAATATACTAAGAACCTTGAGACCATTCCTGTGCATGCCTCCTAATTTTAGTCCAGGCCGATTTTCCCAGCGGTCCAAGTCGCGCATCACCACATCTCACCACATCACGCATTGTTTCCGGGAGCCTTCCGATTCACTGAACGTCAAAGCAAGTCCTCGTTCAGTACTCCTGCCATGGCGGACGTGGCCACGGAGCCGGAGGTCCACCTGTGCTTGTTGAAGTGAAAGAAGCTATTAGTAGCAGGTGCATCGCTTCTAGTAACAAGTGCCTTACTAGCAGTAACAAAGAAGCTAGTAGAAACAAGAAGTAAATTAAAATATAAAACTAGCTTCTTGTTACTACTAGCGATGCACCTGTTACTACTAGGACGCTATTAGTAAATAGTAGCTTGTTGAAGTGAAAGAAGATCGAATCACCGTGAATAGTAGCGTGCGATCGCTCCGTTCCTAGCGATGCCCTTTGTTCCGTTCGTAGCAAACATTGCTCCTAGTACGGCCAGGAGCCCCTAATAGCGTCCTTGCTCCTAGTAGCGATGCCCTTTGCTCCTAGTAGCTTCTTGCTCCTAGTAGTACGGCCAGGAGCCCTAGTAGCTCCTTGTTCCGTCCATTTGGACAGAGACATTGAACTTGGATTTTGGATGATTCTGACTTGGATTGGTGAGGGGCGTCAAGAGCACAGTGGGTGAACATGGTACCCTCGCGCTTTCGGAGTTCCACTTTGCAGACCTGACACAGTCATTTTGACATCGATCTCAGGCAGCCATCTTCCCACTGTTTGCTTTTCTAGTAGGTTCTTGGGCCCTCTCCATTTTTCCCTCAACGCCGCGCACACCTGGTGAGGCTGTGGCCAACAGCAGCACCTGTGGGGTCGACCCGGTGGGCGATGACGACGACGACGGCAGCGTATGTTATCGTCGTTGCTGCTGTGTTGCGAACCGATGTTGAAGGATATGGATTTGGGTCCCTTTTGGAATGAAGACTTGCACTTTTTTTTTCTATTCAATTCACTCAAATGCAGAACAGGGGCGAGATTTATTTATGGCAGTTATATATGCCGTTATCAGAGTCTCAGGAAATATATACTCTTTGGTTGCCACTCCCGCAGCGTTCTTTTTGCTTTGCAAGGTCCGAACAGTTGCCACGAAACGTCCTGAAGATTTGGAAGAAGTCCTGAAACAGCTGGTTGGAAGAAGTTATTAGTAACAAGTGCATCGCTACTAGTAACAAGTGCCTTACTAGTAGTAACAAGAAGCTATTAGTAACAAGTGCATCGCTACTAGTAACAACATTGATCCCGAAAAGAGCTTGAACTCTCTGGAAAAGGTCTGCTTGTTTGCACATGACTCGCTGAGGTGGATTGAACGTCGAGCTGGAAGCCGAGCTGTGAAAGAAACAGCCATGCAAGCTATGCCATGTTTCTAGAACCAACATGGAGTCGGGCAAAATCAAGTACTTCAATGCACAAACGGGTCTTGGATGTGTTTGTTCTTGGACAACACATGACAAAGGATGTTTTCAAAACTTTTGACACAGTTGTCCTGCACTCGTGTTTGCAGATTATGGAGCCACACCAAAGGTTTAGATCCGAAAGACTCCAACTTGGCTAGACGTTTCAATGGCAGATCAGTGGCCAATGGACCCTTGCGAGGTTGACACCTGAAGGTCTTGGAGCGGACCCGAACAAATATATGAATCTACATCAGGTTGGGTCGGTTTTGCGAGCCGTTTTATGGTCCGAAGCTATGCAGCAAGAGGCAACAAGACTCTGTTGCTCTAACCAACCACTTTTGGTCACTGTTGCTCGTGGACAGCCCAAGGTACGTAATTGGTATCGTTATCCCAGTTCGAGCCAAAATGGGGAACTGTGTGGGCTGCATTGACTTCATTCTATAGTCTTCCATCGAACTCATGTACCCAAATGACACCGAAGTAACCCCAAAAAGGTGGGCAGTTCTCGGGTCTTCCGCTCGGGTCTTTGGCTCGTTTTCCGGTCCGCGTGGACACACGCAGCGTGCCAGAGGCAAGACGCACAGATCTCGAAGCCCTCGGTGGATTCTGACCAGGCACGGCAGCGAAAATTTGGTTTCACGCCCTTGGTGAACGCCAAACACGTGCAGCACCTCGAAACACGTGCACTGAACTTGAGACCAGTTGCGGTCCGTGGTGTGTCAGAAGTCAGGTCGAACAGGTCTGACATAACAAGTCTGACCTAACCGTCCAACAGGAAAGTAATTACAATTCTAATTAAATTCTCTTTACTAGTAGTAAGGCACTTGTTTCTAATTACTAGCTTATTGTTACTACTAGTAAGGCACCTGTTACTACTAGCGAGGCACTTGTTCCTAGTAGCTTCCTTTCCTTCCGGGTGCAGGTGTAGACCTGTCTTTCTTTTTTCAACCCACCGCTCCGCCGACCAGGTGGAGAACACTCCGGAGGTCGAAGTGGAGGACGGGGAGCTGTGCAGTCAGAACAGCTAAACAGCTGCAAAGTCTCACAGACTCACAGACCAACCAGCAGATGGGTCTGGTGACGTTCTTGATCAGAGAACTCTACTCTACTCGTTTCTTAGGAGTGCTTGGTGACCGGTCTTGGCTTGTGGCGTACTTCATATGCGTGGGTGCTTGCTGAGATCTCTGGGCGTAGAAGATTGACCGATAGAACCCTTCGCTGATAGCACGATGACAAGGGCAAGGGTTAGCAGAGAGCGGGTTGATCCGCAGTCTGCAAGTTGGTATCGTCGTGGGGGGAACCTGGGAAGCCATGGACAACCCACCGGTTGATAGGGCCTTCAACTTGGCCTCCTTTGAACTGATCTGGAACCTCTGGACTGCTCTCGATGGTTTGAATGATGATTCTTTACTGTGTTATGGGTGCGACATGTTTAGTTGGGGTTAGTTATTGTGCGACACGTCAGGTGGTTGTTGAGCAGTTAGGTGGTGGCTGAGTTCCTTTGGGGAGGAAGTTGTGGAAAGCAACCCATGTTATATACTCATCTCACCCTTTACTCTGGGCTGTCTGCCAGGCCGAGGATGCACTCCAGCTGCCGGTTCGGAGCTTGGAAATGCAAAGGTGGGTAGAAGGGATCTGAATTGCCTCCGCCCTACTAGCGATGGCCTGCACCCTAGTAGCGATGGTCACACACCTTCCCATTTTCAGGAAAAAGACTATGTGATCACCACAGTTCGATAGAGTTTGATCTCAATATCGGCTGTTTTACCTGCATGGCCACTGGTTTCTCTGAGGCACCCACCACCACGCCCTTGAGACGGTCACGCAGGCGCCGCGCAGTTTACCGGCGTGGCATGAGCGGCAGAAAGATGACCGTTTGCAAACTGAAGGGGTGAGGGTGAAGCTTTAAGTTCTCCTGCTGAACTTCGGCCATTTAGTGGTTGGTTTTCTCCACAATTCCGAATTAATTTCAGTGGTCACTTCCACAGGAAGTCTCTAGCAAAGTTTAGCCCTGCCCTTTTTGCAATACTTCTAGAGTCCTACAAACAAGCCTGGGAGGAGGCATCAACTAGAGGAAACTGCGAGTTGCCAAGATGACATCTCAAACATGGACAAGAATGCTCATCAAGAACCCTAAACAACGATCCTCATGATTAGTTTTGCTTTTTGTTTACCCACTCCAAGTGGTGTCTTTGGTCTCTCCCTAATTCTTTCCGAAGATACTCCGGTCTACTCGTTGCACCGTTTGTTTGACAGAAAACCTGAGATGCGCTACTGTATGGTGAGGCCTTCGAAAAAGATGGCCTTTGTATTGATCAGCCGGGGAGCTCGCCAAGCAATTTGCGGCTGCACACACTGACGAGCAACTCGCAGGGGTTGACATGTTCTACACCTAGTAGCAAGGACGCTATAAGGTGGAGGACATTGCTACTAGCAACAAGAAGCCACTAGGGTGGAGAATGTGGCAATTAAAGGCTTTTGGTCGTCCATCAGAGGTTTTC